GAAGGGTTGTTCCCAGTCCTAGAGCTGACCTTTGTTTCAGGATGATCTGCTTGAGCTTCTTCATGGTTCCTTCATTGTCTGCCTTCAAGTTGATAGTCTGGTACTGAAGTTGAGTGCTCATGTACGTAACGCCTTCGCCAATGTGCTCGATCAAACCTTTTCCTTTGGTTGCAGTTGGAACGCAAGCAATGCTCCTACTCCAAGAGTCAATGCAAACCAAGCTGACTGCCGTCGGGGCTTCATCATGACTTGTTCCTGTAAAACAGAAATCCATACACAATGTGGGTCTAGACGATCGTTCCTTCTCAGGGCTTTGAGTTGGATGTGGCGACTCTTTTCCTTTGCACGCAACGCATACTGGACACCAAGTGGCATACGGTAAATGTGTCAAATTGTGTACCTCAACTTCTTCAGGTTTGGGCATGACTTGGTCCTTGAGCGGTTGTGGAATGGCATATTCCTGGTACTTCTTCTGAGCAGTGTTGAGTCCTAACCGTCTCTCATCTTCCATGATCTTCCTACTGAGCCTTCTAAGGAGGTCCTGTTTTGAGCCATTCTTAGACACTCCAAGTTCTGTACACAATTCCTTGAGGATCTTCAGGCTGTTCTGCTGGTTGTACTCATGACCATCATAAATGAACGTAAGTTCTCCATGAAGTTCATACCTGTGTGCAGGGGCCTGTGGTTCCTGTTCGTCAATCTCCATGCTTTCATTCTCCGGGACTGTTTTGAGCCTTTGTTCCTGTTGTTGGGCCTTTGAACCATCTACTGGGTAGACCAACCTGAACTTAGACTGTCCTGTCCATGATCTCACTCCGAAAGGTGATGAGAACTCGTCATACTCATCTGCAATCCATGGCATCTTGTCTTCAAAGAACTCATGGTTCACTGGGTCCTCTCCGTAGGTGGATCTCTCGTTCTGGAGGTTCTCACGCTCTACGGGAATGTCCTTCAAGTCGAGCGGATGAAAACGTGTCTTCCTGGGCGTGTGGTGGTACCTGATCAGTTCAGTTCCATCCTTGCTAAGAGACCACTTGTCATCAGTGTACTCTTCAAATGTACGTCTGTCTTCCGCTTTCTTGGGTGTTCCTATGAGGTAAGGAGGAAATGCCTTGGACGAGATCAAGGTCAATACCTCAAAGTTCTGGCTCTCATCATAGATGTGGCCAAAAGGTTCTTCTAGCTCTTCATACCTTTCGTTGTAGTGCAAGAGCTGCCAGCCTTCGGTGTCTCTAACCAAAACAGCTCTGAAAGGATGTTTTCCTTGAGGATACATCATAGCTGGGTCAACATGCTCTGAGCTCTTTGGGCTGTAGTGGACTACATAGGGCTCGGTCACACTTGTCCATCCAATTCGACCTTCAGCTACGAGGTTCCTAAGCGTTTCACAGAGATAGATTGGCGTAGGGACTCCTGTTGTTTGGGATGTCGAGACTGTCCTGACAAAAGCTTTAGCGGTGAGGGAATTGTTGTTGTAAGCTACTGCTATGGAAGTGTTTCCTTCAACCAAGAAAGTTCCTGTCTCACTACCGTTCCGAAATTCCCAACCTTTCTTCAACAATTTTCCTACAGCTAAGAGAGGGTGAACAACTGATGAAATCAAGAAGACTTCCTCAACCTTCACACAGTTTCCACCAACATCCTCAAACTCAACCTCAATAACCCGCTGGTCCTGTACCTTTATCCTAGTTCCTTGAGCGTCTCGGAGTTCAATCCTGCGTCGGTCCGGGACCTTCCTACCGAAATTTCGCATCCACACAGGGGCTAATGAGATATCTGCGCCTGAGTCAAGCACAACCTCAATTTCCTTTGCACCTGGGCTCTCTCTCACTGTCCTAACAAAGTTCTCTGGTTCTGAGGTGTACCAACAGTACAAGGGGTCCTTCTCTATGTCTTCACTCTCTTCATCACTCTCACTTCCAATCTGAAATTCCTGCTCTGACTTTCCTGAACTAGCCGAAACCATCAAAACTCTCCCGAAGTAATCAATTTCAAGTTCCTCAGAGTCTTCGCTCAGCTCGAACTCCTCAGGAAAGCTGGTCGGTGGATCACCGATGTGGTGCATTGTTACCATCCTGATGATCGGCTTCTGGGTTCCTTGTTGAGGCTGTTCCTCTACTTGGGGCTTCACTCTGAGTTTCCTGCATTTCTACATTCCTAGCCGTGTACCCCATGTCTCTCTGTTTCTTCCTACACTGGGCCTCAAAGTGTCCATACTTCTGGCAGTAATGGCAAACTCCTGTAGCTGCTTGGGCCTTTCCTTTGCCTTTACCTTTGTAGCTACCTTTGAACCCTTTGTAGCCTTTTCCTCTGCCTTTGAAACCTCTAAAGCCTCTACCTCGGCCTTTCCAGTTTCCACCTCTGCCTTTGCCTCTACCTTTTTCCTTTGCCTCGACCTTTGAAACCACCTTTGCCTGAATCCTTGCCTGAATCCTTACCACCTTTCTTTCCTTTACCTTTGTACCCGTACCAATCTCTACCTTTGCCTTTCCAAGCCTGAGACACATCCATGGCTGCAACACCCTGATGATCTTCTCCCTTGTCGAGTAGGTCAGTAGTGGTCCTATAGGGTGTTCCTTGGGACTGCGTAAGCGAATTGGTCCACTTCTCAGTTGACTCATAGTTCACAAGATACTGCCTAAGTGCCGGGTACTTCGTCTTCTCATCTAGGTTGAGCAACAAATGTCTCTTTACTTCAGGCTTCATTCCTTGAATCAATGTACTAACCTTCAAGTTTTCCTGCACCTTTTCTCCAGTGGACTTCTCGTACTGCTCAATGCGTTCCTCATATTCGAGGATGTTCTCTGCAATGCCTTTGTCCTTGGCAAAACGGAAATTCATGATGTTGTGGAAAAGTTCCAGCGATCTTGCTCTATTCACAGGCTGGTATTCTAACAACAGCATCCTATAGGCTTCCATACCGTTCTCTTCTGTCGTATGGCGAACCACACGATACGGTCTGCCTTTGGTGTAAGACGCTAAAATGCTATACAACTTCCTGCTTTGCGTTTTGGCCTCATCAGTCATATCTTTCATGTCCAGCACTTCATTCTTCCTTAGGTCGTTCTCCACGAGGTCCATGGTTTCCACAAGATCTTCATCCATAGCGCCAAGCCAAACTCGAAGTCGTTGCTTGAACTCCATGAAACCATTCTTTTCTTCTTGCCAAGTTCCTGGAGAAAATACTTCTGGAGGCTTGATGAGTTTGTGAAGCTCAACGTCACCTGGCTTTCTTCCTTTCACTGCTCTCTCTAGGCTGCTTCCGATCTCCTCGAAAGTTGTCACTGCTGTTTCCTGCGCTTGAAGCAAAGTGTGCTGTGCCTCTGCACTCTGCTGCTGAATTGCCTGCAGTGTGTTGCTGAAGCTTGCTGTGATGCTTTGCTCTCGGGCTGTGCCGGCTGCTGCACTGCTCCTCATCTCTTCTGCTAAGGTTTGTATTCCTTGAAGCGTTTGCTGGTTGATTTCTGCAAGTCTCTGCAGTGCATCTTCCATTCCTTTGGCTGCTTCCAAGTTGCTGTACACAAGCACAACAAGAAACATTGTCTTGTGCTGTCTCCTCACTTCTGCTCTTCTTCTCCTGCTTTTCCTTTTGGGCTCTTTCGCTCTCTTCGTTCTTTTCTGTACTGCTGTAAAGAACAATCGTGAGAAGTACGATAGGATGATCCAAGTAATCATTCCTAGAGGTGTTCCTGCGAAAACTACAAGATGAATTCCTTCAAACACTAAGCTGTGCACGACGTCGTGAAACTTCTTTTCTAGCTGTTCGAACTGTTCCTTGAAAGGGATCTTTTCTACATTGTGAAACTTTCCTTCTTCTAGCTTCTCATCTACTAGGTACCTAGGAGCGTAGCCGGACTCAAGGCTCTCATCTTCTTCACTCATGTACATGTCGATGCTCCTAATCGTGTAGGCATTCATGAAGTCCTGGTTCACGGAGTACTTGTCGTAGTTCTTCTGAGAATGCGTATTGGGCTTTCCTGGGATGCTCGTCCACACAACCATCAACTCACTCTCGTCAATCTCGGCAATCACCTCTCTCCCACGTCTTTCTTCCTTGGAGGATCTGTCATCTCCAAGGGCAAGTTCATCCTTGGCTCTTCCGGGTCCAAGGGCCTGCCACGGATTCTCTTCGAAGCCATATCTTCCTGGAGTCATGCTCATCCCGCACAAAGTGGCGAGGCTCCCCAGGGCAAAACCAACCAGCAGCACTATGCCTGCTGCCATTCCGTAGCATCTCATGTTCCTCGTCTTCACTTCCTGAATCGTGTATCGTTCAGGGAAGCAATTGAAGCAAGGGGCAAAGTCCCTCACTCTTCCACCAGCAACCGTCAGGTTCCTGATGTGACCACAACCTGGTTTGTGGTACCTTCTTCCTGCTCTTGTTGCTATCCGGACTGTGGGGAGGTACTCGAAGAACTCTCGGACTTCGACGTTCTTTTCCTGTTTCCACATTTGTATCATCCCACAGACGAGAGAAGCCATCATGGCTATGAGGACGATTCCTACTCCTGCTATGTGTAGCATCATCGCTGCCTCTGGTTCCTGGAACGGCAGCTCCGCTACCATGTCAAAGATAGGGTCAATCTAAAGCTAACTGAAAAGCTGGGACACTCCGCACTTTTCCTGGGTTCACTGCGGTGTGTGTCCTTGTTCGAGCCTGTCGTCGACAAGACGTTCCGAGGCTCTGGTGTGCATTCCACATGCACCTGGTGCACAGCTTCCTGTACTGCGTAGATGTTTAACATAATAAGAATAATACTAATAAGAATGACAATAATAATAATCATCATCATAATAGTAATCAAGCTCATGAAGCTGCGCAGGCAAAAAAGTTTTGATCGTCAAGCACAGAGCTGCTTCCACAGGCCGTGCCTCGGACCGGTCTGGGCCGAATGAAACTTTAAAATTCCAGCTGAGCCAACATGCATCCGCAGGAAGGCCCAAGCAAGTATCAGGATTGTGAAAGCCGCGTGTCCCCGACCCCACTTCCGAAAGGCCACCTGATTTGCATGGGCATACTCCTTCTCCAGCATCCCGCGACAAACCTTAGATGCAGATCACGACTCACCAGAAGTCGGTGCAGATGACTCGCAATGCTGAAAGCCGCTCACCTCAAGACTCTCTGCCATCGGATCTGGATCGGTAACTCCTCCGGACTGAGAGCCCCACACGCTCGACTTTGGCAACGATCTCGGATCCAAGCTCCTCCCATGTCTCCATTGGTTTCAAAGCTCTACAAACCTGGGGACCTCCGGAAACGCCACGAATACTTACGAATACTTGAGGAGAGTCCTGGTTGCCCAACAGCTTCGAAAGAGCCTTAACCGACTTCGTTGTCTGCTGCAGGGCAACCTCAGACCTGCCATGACTGCACTCACGATAGCCGACAGCCCCACTTTGGCCAGTTCAGATATGACTGAAAGATGGAGCAGACAACAACCAAGCCGACAATCCATCCGCCTCAGCACACCCTCAGCGCCCCCAGTAGCAGCTGCAGCGGTGGCAGCACGCCGTGCCGAAGCCTTGCCAACGAGGCCAGGACATCAAAGAAAACCTAGGACATCCACCCTGGGTCGTTGGATGTTACTAGCTGTGCCTCCTTTCTCTTCTGCGCATCGGGCCCTCCCAGAGCCAAGTCGACAAAGCGATACCACTCATCCTCAGAAACATGGTTGAAATTCCACATGAGAGGCACCGCCAATCTGAACTTCCCTGACCCTCACTGCGCGCCCGGCAAGCACATATTGCAGGGCATGCACTACAAAAGCCTCACAGCACCAGACTACTAAGAGACTCCGTGCAACAGACACTTGCAAAAGAGAGCGCCTCGGCACTCTCGAAATCGCTGCGCTTCTGGGGCTCTTTTCCAGGAGCTCGCTCCCTGGACAGCCGTTAAAAGCGCTGTATCAACACACTGGTAAACGATGATACCACGATGAAGAACACGATGAAGAACACGATCATATACACAAGGAGTTGCAGGGTCCTGGGCCGCGAGACGGTTGGGCGCGGCTTCTCGGGCTTCTCTGCCACTGCCGCTGCCTGGGCTCGGATCAAAACTAAGCCCTGCAAAGGAACGGAACAGAAACCGGTATGGCAGAGAACGCATCACAAGGACGTGGCCGGTGGCGCAGAAAGAAGTGCCAGCGCTGCCTACCCCAAGACTTCAAAAACCCGAGTGAGCCTCTGCTTGCCTCTTCACTGTTGCATACCGCAGCTCCCCTGTCAAATGACCCCTCTGACTTGCAGCTCCCACCGCCTCTCGCGCACCCTGCGCACGCAGAAGCGCACGGTGACAGCGCTCCTCGAGGTAATCAGAAACAAAAACCGCAAAAAGAAAAAAAAAAAAAAAAACTTACTAGAGCTGCCCCACCGGAATTGCTCACCCAAGGGCGCTCTCTCCTCATCTCCAGGGTTCTTGTCCGGATGAACCAGCAGCGCAAGGCGCCGAAACGCATTCCTGTGCCACCAGACTTGCTCTAACCTTCACCGCCCCCACGTCACTCCATTGTCACTACATAGCTGGTAAGAGCAAGACTATTGCTTGCAATGGCATGGCCTGACTGCGTAGCACGTGGCATTGGACGGAGATAGCCCCAACACCTGGACAAACGTCGGGAAATTGTCTCGCAAGTCGGTCCGAAAAAGCCGGAAGTCTGGCCACACATTGCATCCCTCTCACGTCATCTCTCATCCATGCCGCAGCTCCTGCCTCAAAAGGTTTTTTTGGCCCCGTTGCCAGGATTCGAGCCAGCTCGGCAGCGCACCGAGCTGAATTGGGCGCGGCTTCCTGGCTCACAAGTCTCGCAGCTCGCGTGCGGCCCGATTCACATGTACTCGGAAGAGACACTATCTATATCACTCTTTGTTTTTGGACCATTCCGGCACAACTGAAGAACCACACCTTGTGCTGCGAAATCGTGCGCCAACAATGCGCTATCGGGGGAATTTGAGCCTGCCTCTGCATCGTTCGCCACGTTTGTCGTGGACGCTTGCGCCCTTCCAATGTCTCCGCGGCCCTCGCTTGCGTCAGTACTGCCGCTGGGCCCTTCCAACGCCGGCACCTGCAATGGCAAGCTCTTAAGGTGGATGGATCAATATGCTGTCGGTGCTTCACATCACGCACCTCCACTTTGCCACATTCTGCATGTCGATCACAGAGGAGGCAACAAGCATAGCCCCACCGATGGGTGGCAACGCCTAAGATGTGAAAACTTGTTAGGAATCGGCCACTGAAACATCGACACGGCTCTGGCATCTTGAATACACAATGCCAAGCAACAATAGAAGGAACCCCAGACCGCGGTATGGCCGTTGTTGAGGTTGTCCTCTTCATACTTCGAGGCCGCCAACATACTTCACAACTTGGTCTTTGCACCATGAATCCATCACTTGGGGGCGGCCGTTGCTAGTTGTGAAATGAACCATGCTTCGTACACACGTACATCGTTGTGCAACATCCATCAGCTATTTCAAGACAACGACAATCTTCACAACAAGCAATGCAATTTCTACAGTGGGCCATGACAGTTCGCCGAAGCATCATGCAATGGGCCAGAACAGCTCGCAGAAGCATCATGCTGCATCTGCAATCACAAGTTGCCGCACAAAAATGAAACCGCTGATGTTTCAACAAACAGTCTGGCACTAATCCGGCACCTCTAATTAACAAAAACACAAGATTTAATCAAATTACACTCGGGGGTCACATCAAATAAGTACCTCACGAAGGCCCAAACACCATGGATGTAAAGATGCAAAAATGTTGGCAGGCGCCACTTTTGATCCGCGCGCAAACGGAACGCCCAAAACTGAATACGAAACCTGTAAGACTGAAATGGCCGCTGGCAAGCAAACTAGGGCTCGGGTGTCCCGAAAACGTGAAAATCTTTCAAAATCCGCCCGACAGAAGAGCGCAAAGGAGTGACAAATGCAGAGGTAATGAAGGAAGGAGAGCGAGAGAGAAAGCGAGAGAGAGGGGGGAGGGAGGGAGGAAGAGGGAGCGGGAGGGAGAGGGAGAGAGAGAGAGAGAGTGAGACCGAGACATAAACCGAGAGAGAGGGACCGAGAGAGAGACCGAGAGAAAGAGAGAGACGGAGGGAGGGAGGGAGGGAGGGAGGGAGGGGGGGAGATGATTGAGAGATTTGATCGTGAGAATCAATACCTAAACTAAACGTCACAGTAATCCTGCATCCACTTCATGCGGTGAAAGGGGTCTTGCCCTTCCGGACGACAGCCTTCCCTGGACGAGATAGAGAACATGGGTTTGTCAAGGTGCTCCACGCTGCACACAACATCAACCCAACGAAAGCCTTGCCGTGTCTGCATGCTGCATGCTACTCCAACATCTTCAAAACTATCTGCAAACCAAGCCCTCTCGAAAACTCACTCCGACAGACTTTTTGTTTCTGTTTCCCCGAGACAAAGGCCTCCGTGGTAAATTCCCCTACCCCAGCCAAGTGAGCGTGCCTTCGGATGTTTGTTCAGCTGATGACCTTTCTGGGGAGGGCCCCGAAACAGAGTGGATCCATCGCTTCGCCAGGTTTTGCAGGCATGGAGGTCGCTCTCTTGAACCTTCTTCTGTCATGGCCTTCAATTCACTTGTCTAATGAAATCGGAGGACCTCCTCCAATTTCTCCGATGGCCACTCTGCCTTCCGCGCCTATGCGGAGTCTATTTTCAGCGTTTGTTCGCCGACTTTTAACTGATAGTTGTGATGCCAACGCGACGTCGCAGGCCCCAGGATGAATCTTCCACCGCCAGGATGTTCACTTCCGCGCCGGCTTCCAATGATTTGTAAGGGTGGTGATTCCAATACTCTGAAACTAAAAAGGGCCCACACTTCTTTTTTAAGACTCATATTGGCGCCTGTTCATTTTAGTGAGTCTCCAAGTAATTTTAATGGTATTCTTGGAAAATTGAATAGCATTCCTAGCCCTATTAATTCTAATAGGAATCACATTAAGTCCAACAGGAAGCCTAGAAATTTTGAAAAGGAACCACATTGAATGTTGTAGGATTCCTATTGGTTCCTATTTGTTTTAGTAAGATTCCTCTTCCTTTTAAAAGGATTCCCATCAAATTGCAGTAGGGTTCTTATGAATTTTACTGGGGTTCCTAATCAATTCCGATTAACGTCAAAGCGTTCCTAACCATTTTAATAGGACTCCTCTACCATTTCATAATATTCTTATGAATTTTCATAGGGTTCTTATTCAATGTAGCAGGACCCCTAATACTTTGTTTCAATAAGGTTCTTATGAATTTCAACAATGCTCTCAATCGTTTTGACGTGGTCTCTTTTAGTTTCAATAGGGGTCCCTCTGAAAATGAAAAGGACTCATACTTCTTTTTTAGGATTCCCATTGCTTCCTATAAATTTTAGTAGGGTTTTAGTAGGATTTCTCTTCATTTTTTAAAGGATTCCTGTTAATTTGCAATAGGGTTCTTATGCTTCGTAAAAAGATTGTTTTGGAGCCAAAGTCACATTAATTCTAACAGGAAGCCGAGAAATCCGAACCACATTTATTTTTGTAGGATTCCTATTGGTTCCTATTAAATTCAGTAGGACATCTCTTCATTTTCAAAGGAGTCCTATGACTTTGCAATAGGGTTCTTGTGATTTTTTGTGGTGTTGCTTGTAAATTTCTACTGATGGTAGGATCCTCTTTATTTAAAAGATTCCTCTTAATTTGTAAAAGGGTTCTTATGAATTTTAGTGGGGTTCCTCAAAATTTGAAAAGGCTTCAAATTCATCATAACAAGACTAAGAGAAACATTAAAAGGATTCCAATTTAGATTTCATAGGATTCCCACCTTCCCGTAAATTCAAAAAGTGTCCCTTTTCATTTTCACAGTTTTCCTACTATTCTTCCTGGGGGCCCTATTGTTTTTTCTACTTTTTTGTAGCATTCCCATGACGTATTCCTATGACTCAAATATGATTCCAAGTTATTTTTCCTATTACTTCAATAAGATTCCTATTCATTTCAATAAGAGCCTCATTAATTTTAATGGGGTTCGTATTGATTTTCATAGGGTTTTCATTCAATTAATATGGTTCTTATTAAATTCATACCTATGACTAAATACGGATTTCTTACTCCGACACGGCCTCACGGTGGGGTCATGAAGAGGGGTGTGAGCTAATATAAATTTAAATATAAATATAAATATAAATGTAAATATGAATGTGAATATAAATATAAATATAAACATAAATATAATTATAAATATAAATATAAGTATGAATATATAATATAAAATATAAAACATAAAATAAAAATGAAATATACATATAAGTATAAAGAGAAATATAAACAAAAATATAAATATAAAATTAATATAAATATACATATACATTTGGGTGTAAATGTAAATACGTACCCCCCCCCCGGTTATCCACACCTTTTCTGCTTGTTTTGTGATTTTCTTGTTCTGGCACTGCGTATTTCTTTTTTGTTCGTTAAGCCCCCCTTCGGCCCCCTAAAGCTCCCTTCAGAGGGTTCCTGCAAAGGTGTCCTTCGGAAGGCAAAGAGTCAAGCTCTACCCTTAAGCTCCCCCTCAGCCCCAAGCCTTCCTTCAGCTCCCTCTGAAACAGCCAACGGAAGCAGCTACTAGACAGTTTTGGAAGCCTAGAAAGTGAAAGCCAAACCCGGATGAGATTGAGCAAAGATGGAGCAAGAAAGATTTCAGAAAAGAAAGATGTGAAAGTCTGCAGATGGCCTTAACAAGAAGATGGAAGAAGCCAAGAAGGAAGTTTCAAAGGCAACGAAGAAAGTGAAACTTCCAAATCTAAAAACATGGAAGGGCGTTGTAGTTAGAATGCGATCGGCCGGCAAAGTGACAGGGCTGATTGAAGCCTGAGTTTCTTTCAAGAAGCAAAGCCAGCCAACGGGCAAAAGCCAATGGGCAAAGCAAGTAAGAAAGCCTCCTGACAAAAGCAATGCCCAGGTGCCATCTCTTGAAAGAAAAAACGAGCCGAGCAAAGAAGCAAAAGCCGCCGAGTCGGCTTTCCACATTTGGGGTTTGATCCTTTGAAATTGTTCAGTTCCATCTTCTGACTCTAGCTGTGCTCTTCACGCAGTTCCTGCAGCGCTGGTCAGTGTTACCTCAGTTGCACATCTTTGTTCTGGAATCTTTCAGATTAGAAAGCCGGCGCAACTTGATCTTTTCTTGGGAACGTTCCGCCTGGGTTCAGCCTGCTAGCCAATGGAGTAATTTCACCCGCTTGCTTCTTCTTTTGTTTTTTGTGTTTGTTGTTCGACATTCAAGTTTCAAGAAGCGAGAGTTCACAGCAGTGCGGGGCCAAGCCAAGAACCCATGTTTTGTTTGAAAAAGGGGCTGAAAGGGGAGTTTGCTGAAAGGAAGGCGGGCCTCCAGGACTTGAAAGAGGGATGAAAGGGAGGCTAAAGGGGGTTTAAAGGGGACTTTGAGGGGGGCTTCAAAGGGGGAAATTCAAGCGGACTTCTACAGGGGAGCTTCTCCGTTGACTTCGGCGAAAATGAAGGAAACCTTGAGACCTGTGCTGTGCGTTCTCGGGCCCGCCTCTCTCTCCTCATGGCATTCCGGCCTTCCTGATTTGCGTTCTTCCCTTCACCCGCCCCACCCCAAGATGAAATTATTGTTTGGGTTCATTTAATCAGAGGGGGAACTTTGTAGTCCAAAGGCTTGAACCAGATCCTTTCAATTGGGTGGAATTAAAAACTAAACTGATTTAGATTTTTGGATGGGCCGCAGTTTCATGTTTTTTGGTGTACAATTCCGATGGAGGGTTTGGAAGACGCAAAATTGCTCTTCTGTGAGAAGGCTCAATATCTGCAGTTTAAGAGGCCACGTCACTGCTGTGGAAATGTGCCTGCGTCTTTTCCAACCTTCCGCTTTTTTCTGCAAGTAAGCTTGCGTGAAGCATGTAAATCATCTCTAAACCCTCAAAACTTCCTCAGCTTCCCAGCCGCAGCTGCCGCCTTTTTCGCATTTCTCTTGAGCACATGCATTGAGAACTAGTGACCAGTGACCAGTGAGTGACTTGTAGTTGCTGTGAACATGCATATTTCTTGAACTAGAGATTCATTTGAATCCTGGAGGGCGGGCTGTGGCAGCCCAGCATGTCAACCAGGCGCTCAAGTGGCAGGTGAGAAAGCCATGTCCAGCACAAGTTTCATCGTGGGGCCCAGCTCATGATACGGTAGTGGCAGGTCCGTTCGGCTTTGCTTCGCCAAGAGGACTTTGATGCATTCACTTCGTAGGTTTGCGAACCCCGATTTGAGGCAGGGGGCAGTCGGAGAAATTTCTCATGTTAGGCCGCAGATCTTTCGAGTGAGGTCTTTGTGCACATAGTCCCCCGGCGTAAGTT